GCATCAGCATCAGCATCGTCATCAGCATCACCATCACCATCACCATCATCATCATCATCATCATCATCATCATCATCATCATCATCATCACCATCACCATCACCATCACCATCATCATCATCATCATCATCATCATCATATTTGTGCTTGCACGGTTTTCATCTGCGCAATCCGCCGCCATTCGGGGGCTCAAGGCGCAAGGGCCGGCCGAGTGGCCGGATGTTTCCGCCGTGGCTGGGGCGCGTCGCGGATGTGGCCGGCGCTGGGTGGGTGAGCTACCTGTCGCGCTGCCCGCCCTGCCCGTCGCTCCCTGCCCCGGCGGGCTGCAACGTGAGCCTCGTCTGCCCGAGCATCCCGCCGTGCCCGGCCCTGCCCAGCGTGCTGGGCGGGCCGCAGTGGGCCCAGGCGCCGCAGCCGGGGCCGTCGTGCGGGCCCTGCCCCGCACCGCCGACCTGCCCAGGGGAGCAGGTGTGCCGCTGCTGGACGCTCAGCTTCTCGCTGTTCCTCGTGGGGGTGCTCGTGGGGGCGCTCATCACGAGCGGGCTGGGGAGCTGCCGACGTCTGACGCCGACGAGTTCGCGTGCTGCGCCTGTCCGTGCTCTGACGGCGGGAGGTGGCCAGGATGGTGACCACTCAGTGGGTATACGTCTGGTACGCCGGCGAGAACAAGTGGCACCAGCACCTTAACTTAGGCAGGATCGCTCTCAGTCGCAGCGATCACGTCATCTACACGGCCGATGGCGACATGTACATCATCCAGATCCAGGACAATCCAGACATCCAGGCGACGAGGTTCGGCACGTACGCCACGCCCCCCGTCGGCCTGCGGAGGGCCGACGTCTACGGCTTCAGGCAGGAGCCCACCCAGGCCGAGGTCCGCCAGCTGGTGGTCGAGGCCGAGGAGGTGGCGGGCCAGGAGTGCAGGCGCCGGGCCGAGCTCATCGGGGACTTGCAGGTGCTGCGCGGGCTGAAGGTGCTCGTCCCCCCTGGGGGGGCCGCTGCCGCGGGCCCGGCAGCGCCGCCGCCTGGTCCCGCCGTCGGGCTGCTGCGTGGCCGCGCTGCTGCCGCTGGGGCTACGCCTCGTGCTGGTGGGGTGGCCGACGTGAACGACGGCGTGTGGCGCGTGGCTGCGTGTGTGGGCGACTTCAGGGTGGGCGACGAGATCGTGGAGCACGTGCCGTCGCCCTCCCGCGTCGGGGATCGGGATCTGCAACTGCTCCCGTCAGGCGAGGCCCTCTTCGTGGAGTTCGTCACCTCGGCTGCTCTGCCAGGGTTCTTGCAGCGCGCCGTGGGGGCCGACGCGAGGATCCTGCCGGTGACGCGCAACAAGCGGGGGAAGAGGGAGCTCACCTGGTCGGCGATGGTCGAGCTCACCAACCGTGAGGAGTTCGACGCCTCCGACTGGGGGCCCCCCGGCCCCCGCACCGCCGACTGGCGCATGGACTACATCCTGAACGAAGGCCTCGGGATCGAGGGCCACCACGAGCACTTCCGGTCGATCTGCAAGCTTGCGGCCTCGGACTGGGGGGTGCAGGAGTACCAGCTCAGCCTGCAGCTCAAGCAGGCCCTCTGCATCGACATGCTGGACGGCTCGAACCTGGTGTCTGCGGAGACAAAGTTCAGGAGGATGCAGACGATCGAGTTCGCCCACTGGGACAAGGCGAAGGACCAGGAGAGCAAGGGGATTGGCGGCAAGCTCTCGTTGGAGGAGCAGGCCGCGTTCTCGGGCGTGACCCGCGCCCACACGGCCATCATGATCTGCCCGGACCTCATCGAGCATGTTCGGGCGGAGCTCGAGCGGGAGGGGAAGCTCAACAAGAACCTGCGCCTGGCACGCGAGGAGCGCGAGTCCAGGCGCAAACATGGGTAAGCAAGGCGCGGCCACTGGGAGCGGCAGGGACCCAGTTGGCCGAACTACTTCCTGCAGAGGTCCGAGTCACTCGTCGGGCCCAAGCGCCGCCACACCGGGTCGTCGCGTACCTCGAGATGTGTTTCCTCTACCTTATCCTTATGACCTTCAACGTCAGCGGGGCGAGGCTATTCGAGGGCTCAGCCGCGTCGTTCAGCAACGACACCTTCGGCGGAGCAGTTTTGAGAGGGACGTGACCCGGGCTGTGGATGCATTGAATTGGTTGAACGACTCGTCTACTCATGTCGGGCGGGACCGCAGTTTTACAGCAGGCGCCCTGTCGCTGGCCCAGCGCCAGTGCCTGACGCACATCAGCAGCTCCGTGGAGGAACTTGGTGCACCTCCGCGAGATCTGTCCCCCGCAGAAGCGCTACGGCAGCTTCGCGTGGCCGGGGGCGGCTACTGTGTCGAGGAGTCGCCCCTCGGAAGCTATGACCCCGCGCTCGTCTCCTTGCCGGACGGGAAGGTGCCTCCAGTACCGCTCTCGGACGTGTGGGGCGATGGCGGGATATCCAAGGTCGAGCTTTTTGTTCAGCAGAGCCTGCTGCCGGCTGACGTGGCGGCCGCTCGACTGGACGCATGCTCTGTCAAGACGCCCTACTCTGACCCTCGGCTGAGGTGCGCACGGGACTGGGAAGGTTTCGCTCGTGATCTGCATGCTCGTAATTTGGTCGACTTCTCGCTGGACGACGGCGTGAGGGTCGACGCGTTTTTTGTCAAGAAGAAGGGGGGCCGCCTCAGGATGGTGATCGACTGCAGGCGCAGCAACGTCGTGTTCGCCGACCCCGCGCCCGTCGTCCTGCCCACGGGGGACTCGTTTGCCGCACTCGAGCTGGACGACCCCGAGGGCATCCTGAACGCGGAGGGCGTTGACCTGAAGGACGCGTTCTACCACCTCGAGCTGCCCATCGAGCTCAGGAGGTACTTCGTGATGCGGCCCATCCTGGCGGGCTCCGTCGGTGTCTCCAGCCTCGGGGGAAGCCAGGTCGCGCCCACGGCCAAGCTCTTCCCTAGGCTGAAGGTGGTGCCGATGGGCTGGTCGTGGGCGCTGTGGTGGTGCCAGTCCATCATGGAGCGCATCGCGGAGCAGTCGGGCTGCCCTGAGTCGCAGCGGCTGCGCGACGGGTGCCCTGCGCCTGGCCTCAGCGAGTTCGGGCACCTCCAGTACGTGGACAACTTCGTCAGCTTCGGCTACGATCGTGTCGCCGTCCGCGCGGCGGTGGCGCGGGCGGCGGCCGAGCTGGAGCGTCGCGGCCTGGTGGTCACGCTCGAGGATCACGCTGGGGAGCACGAGGGCACCTTCAACGTCCTGGGCTGGGACATCGCCGCCTCGGGGAGGCTGTCCGCCTCGGGGAGACGCCTGTGGCGTGCGCGGCTCGCTGTCAGGTGCCTTCTCAGGCGAGGCCGCTGCTGCGGGGCGGACATCGAGCGCATCCTCGGCCATCTCATCTTCATCACGCTCGTGCGGCGCGAGGGCCTCTCGCTCTTCGAGGCCTGCTTCAGGTTCGTGCAGACCTCGTACCACGTGGAGGCCCCGCTCCCGGGCGGCGTCCGCACCGAGCTCGCGGTGTGGGATGGGCTGGCGCCCTTCCTCTGGCGGGATCTGAAGGCGGGCTGGTCGATGGACGTGGGCGCGGTCGACGCGTCGCCGTGGGGCCTGGGCGCCTGTCAGTCCACCTGGGCTCCCGCGGCAGTCAAGTCCGTCGGGCGGTACTGCGAGCGGTGGCGCTTCGGGCGGGCGGAGAGGCTCCCGCCACGGCGCCGCGCTCTGGCCGCCAGCCAGCGGGCGCTGGGCCAGGCCATAGCTGCCGAGGTGGGTGACCCCGCTTCCGGCGGCCCTGGGCTCGTTGCCTTCGCGTCGGCTGCCAACGCCCTGCCAGCCGAGCCCGTCGGCCCGCCTTTGGAGCGCGACCTGGCCGAGTTCCCCGAGGTCCCAAAACGTCCCCTCGAGCGCTCGGCCTGGACTGTCACAGGGAGGAGGAAGTGGGACCGTTCAGAACCGATGCCCATCCTTGAAGCCAGAGCGGTTCATTATCACCTTCGTCACGCCCTTCGGAATGCAAACAATCATGGCAAGAAGATCTTGGTGCTAGGAGACTCTCTGACGGCTGTCGCCGCCTCGTCCCGCATGCGAGCTCACTCGCACGCAATGCTCCGGGTCATGCAGCGCATCTCTGCCCTGTCCTTGGCTTCTGGGTCGTATCTGTGCGTGAGGTGGGTGCCCACAGAGTTCAATGTGGCCGACGGGCCCTCGAGGGGAAGGGGATCTCCAACAAAGCCTACAGACATCATTCTTGACAAGCACGACCCCACAAAGCACGACATTAAAAGCAAGCACGAGTACAACATCATCAGCACAGTCAAGCACGATATTACCGACATGCCCATCATCAGCAAGAGCGGCAAGCACGACATCAGCAAGCACGACAAGCACGACATCAGCAAGCACGAGATCAGCAAGTACGACATCAACAAGCATAGCGTCACCGACAAGCACGACATCAGCAAGATAGGCCAGCACGGCAGCAGCACGCATGACACCGACATCAGCACGTTCCTTCCTTCGCATCGCCGTTTTGGTTCATGCTGTCCAGCTTCGAGGCCTTCGCCTGGCGAGAGTGCGCCCCCACTGCCCGTGCAGAGGAAGTGCGACTGGCATGCTGGGGCGGGCTCGCCGCCGGAGTCGGTCGCCGCGGAGCCAGCCTTCGTCGACCTCGGCAGCCTCGCGACCGGGCCCCCCGGTCTGGCCGGGCCGCCGCGCTGCTCGCCAGGCCGCGCCTGCCGCGCGGACCGCGCCGGGCCCTCTGCAGGGCGTGAGGCGCAGGCCGGCGGCGGCGACGCCGCGCCCCCAGACCCCTCGGGAGCGGGCGGCCGAGGTGCGGCCTCCGCCGGGCGTGCAGGTGCTCAACGCCGCCGCGGTGCGCACGGCGAGGGGCAGGGAGGCCTACCAGGTGCTGTACACCGCGTTCGTGACTTGGGCCAGGAGCCAGCAGATGGCGCTGTCCTCGGCCGCGGACGTCGACAAGGCAGCGGTGGGCCACCTGCACGTGATGTTCAACGAGGGGAAGCACCTGACCTACGCCAACCGCCTCATCGCGGCCATCGCTTGGATGCGGCCCGAGTTCAGTCGGCACGGCCAGCTCCGCCTCCCGCGTGCGAAGCAGGCTGCTGTGGGCTGGAAGAACCTGGCGCCACCCAAGAGCCGTCAGGCGCTGCCGATCGAGGTGGTCTTCCTGGTCGTCAACTGGCTTCTCCTCCAGCGGTCCTACGAGGCTGCGCTGGCGGCGTGGCTGCGGTTCGAGATCTACGGTCGGCCGGGAGAGATTCACAAGCTGCGAGCCGTGGACCTCGTGCCGCCGCTGATGTCGCGGGGCGCGGCCCACCGCTTCTGGAGCCTGACGCTCCACGCAGCCGAGGTGGGCGACGTGTCCAAGACGAACGAGTTCGACAACTCCGTGCGTCTCGACCTGCCTCGTCATCAGCGGTTGGCCGCAAGCCTGGACTGGATGCTGGCTCGCAGGTGGGGCGCGGGCTGGAGGGCGAGCACCCTCGCCCGAGAGGGCGGGGCCGCAGGCTTGCCCGGCTCGCTCTTCCTCATCTCGCCCGCGGACGTGTCCCAGGAGTTCCGGCGGGCGGTGACCGCCCTCGGCCTCCGCCGCCTCGGCGCCGTGCACCTGCACCAGCTACGGCATGCCGGGCCGTCTCACGACTCCGCGGCCTCCTGCCGAACGCTGGAAGAGATACGCCGCCGTGGCCGGCGGCGCACCTGGAGCAGCGTGCGCCGCTACGAGAAGGGCAGCCGCCTGACAGAAGTGCTGCATCGCCTACCTCTCTGGCTGCAGCGACACGGGGGGGCCTGCGTCGAACACCTGAGCCGACCCGTGTTCGAGGTGCCCTCACCTTTGCCGCAGCCCGTCTGAGCGCGCCCGTCATACTTGAGCTGTTTTCTGGGCATGGCGGTTTTGCCCGTGCCGCAGGAGCCATGGGCTTCTGGGTTCTCGTGTGGGACCTATCTCTTGGGGAACAGTACGACTTGACGCGCTCTGAGAATCGTGCCAAGATCAACGCGTGGCTCCGAGCAGGTTTGCTGCTTGGCTGGCACGCGGGCGTTCCATGTAATACACTCACACGTGCCAGAGGATACGGTATCGGTCCACCAGCTGTCAGATCAGACTAGTATCTTTTCGGACTTCCCGATCTGTCGTTTAAGTTGCAAGCTCAGGTTGATGCCTCCAATTGTCTGAACAAATTCGTCGCTTCGCTTGCCCGGGCCTCTCTGGCCCTCGGTGTGCCGTGGTCCGTCGAGAATCCCAAGGCCTCTCGGCTCTGGCTCTTGCCTGACTACAAGCGCCTCCACCGCCGACGTGGTGTTGAGCATGTTGTTACTTCTATGTGCATGTGGGGCACCCGGTGGCGGAAAGACACGGGGCTCCTCTTAGGTTTGCTGGATCCCACGCCGTGGCGTGACACCAGATGCCAGGGCTCGAAGCGTGGAATATGTGCTCGCACCGGCCAACGTCATGAGATCCTCAGTGGCAAGAGACCCGACGGGACTTTTGCCACCAGTGCTGCAGCCATATACCCAGCGCGCTTCTGTAAAGCTCTGGCCCGGTCATTTTATAATACTCACGTTGCAAAGATTGCTGCCTCTTTCCAGAGGCATCTGTGAGAATTCGGCGTTACCAGCTTGCAAGCATGCCTGCAGATTTGGCATGTGAAGTGTGTGCTCTGTCGACCTCGCCGTGGCGTCTCGCGCCACTCCACGCAGCTCGCCCTCACACCTGACTTCTGGCAAAAACGAGCTCTGATGATCATCATCATCATCAGCATCAGCATCAACATCATCATCAGCATCAGCATCAGCATCATCAGCAGCAACAGCATCATCCTCAGCAGCAGCAGCTGCAGCTGCAGCAGCATCATCGGCATCGTCATCAGCATCATCGTCGTCATCATCATCAGCAGCATCATCAGCAGCACCATCATCATCAGCACCATCATCCGCCCCTCCCTCCTCTCCCGGCGCGCTGGAGGCGGCCTGCGGCGCCGTGGCCGAAGTGAAGGGCCAGCTGCTGGCCCTCGTCAAAGCCGCCAAGGACAGGGACGACCGCGACGCCCTCCGCGACCTGGGGCCGCGGCTCGCCGTGCTCTCGAAGGAGATGAAGGCCCCCCCCCGAGGGGAAAAGCGTCTGCACCGCTTTGGCTGCGGGAACCAGGAGGAGGAGCAGGAACCAGGGGGAGGAGGAGGAGGAGGAGGAGGAGGAGGAGGAGGAGGAGGAGGAGGAGGAGGAGACGAACGAGGCGGAGGGGGAGGAGGAGGAGGAGGAGGAGGAGGAGGAGGAGGAGGAGGAGGAGGAGAGGGGAGAGAGGAGGAGGAAGAGAGGAGGAGGAGGCGGAGGAGGAGGAGGAGGAGGAGGAGGAGGAGGACGAGGAGGAGGGGAGGGAGGAGGAGGAGGAGAGGAGGACGGGGAGGAGGCGGAGGAGGAGGAGGAGGAGGAGGAGGAGGAGGAGGATGGGCAGGAGGAGGGGGCGGAGGAGGGGGCGGAGGAGGAGGAGGAGGAGGAGGAGGAGGAGGAGGAGGAGGAGGATGGGGAGTAGGAGGAGGAGGGGGAGAAGGAGGAGGAGGAGGGGGAGGGGGAGGAGGGCAAGCTAGGTGCGCTCGCGTCATATCTGACGTCCTACCCCTCCCTGCCATCCCTTACCATGGCGTAGATCTCCTCTCTATTCGCACAGTCGGATGTCGCAGCATGGCGTAGCTTTACATGGCATAGCCTGATGTCGAAGGTCAACGCGTAGCCTGGCATAGCATGGCGTGGCGCCGCCCAAATGTGGGGGGGGGCTTCTGCGGCCAAAAAAATCAACCAATCGGCACCGAATGTGTAATCACTTTCGATGGTTTTTTCGGGGGTCAATCTTAGATTTTGGGGCTTAGTTGGAAGGACCGAAGACCATGCCGTGGGATGGCGCTGGAAATAGTGCCGCCAGCGCTGCACCGGGAGCACGATTCGGAACGAGCGGAAGCGCGGGAATGAGGCCAGCGCTGCACTGGGAGCACGATTCGGGACGAACGGTAGCCCGAAAAAGAGGCCAGCGCTTCAGCGAGAGCAGCATTTTCAAAACATTAGCCTGACGAAAGACCCAACCAGATGCAGCTGCGAGAATCGCATTGTGGGTACCGGTTTCGGTGGAGCTCCTCATGGGGCCACGAACCCTGTGAGGGGCGTGCCGAATTCGGAGCGGTGGTGCCATGCGAACCCTCCCACTGGAGCCTTCGGTGGAGCATCCCCTGGGGCCACAAGACGTGTGAGGGGGTGTACCGAATTGGGCGCGGTGGTGCCATGCGGACCCTCCCACTGGAGCCTTCGGCGGAACTCCTTATGGGGCCACGAGAAGTATGAGGGGTGTGCCGGATTGGGCGCGGTGGTGTCATGCGAACTCTCCCACTGGAGCCTTCGGTGGAGCTTCCTATGGGGTCAAGAACCGTGTGAGGGGCGTGCCGAATTCGGAGCGGTGGTGCCATGCGAACCCTCCCACTGTGTGAGGGGTGTGCCGAAATGGGCGGGGCGACGCATGCGGACGCGGCCACAGGTGCCTTCGGTGGAGCTCCCTATGGAGTCACGAACCGTGTGAGAGGTGTGCCCGAATGGGCGGGGGGACGCATGCGGACGCGGCCACTGGGGCCTTCGGTGGAGCTCCCGGTGAGGCCACGAAACACGTGAGGGGTGTGCCGAAATGGGCGGGGGGACGCATGCGAACGCGGCCACTGGGGCCTTCGGTGGAGCTCCCTGTGGGGCCACGAACCGTGTGAGGGGTGTGCCGAAATGGGCGGGGGGGGACGCATGCTGACGCGGCCACTGGGGCCTTCTGTGAAGCTCCCCATGGGGCCACAAACTTTATGAGGGGTGTGCCGAAATGAACGGGGAGCGCATGCGGACGCGGCCACTGGGGCCTTCGGTGGAGCTCCATATCGGGCCATAAACCGTGTGAGGGTTGTGCCGAAATGGACATGCGGAGAACAGGAGACAGGGATGGGAGGAGAGGCACGGATGGGAGATGAAGGAGGAGGAGGAGGAGGAAGTAGGGAGGAGAACGCGGGGCGCTGTCTCTTCAAAGCGAGGACCCAACACCACAGGATGGTTGGGAATGATGACGATGAAGAAGAAGAAGAAAATGATGATGATGGTGATGATGATGCTGATTCTGATGCTGATGCTGATGCTGATGATGATGATGATGATGGTGGTGGTGGTGGTGATGATGATTATGATGATGATGATGACGACGATGATGATGATGCTGCTGATGATGATGATGATGATGATGATGACAATGACGATCATGGTCATGATCATGATCATGATCATGAATATGATGATGCTGATGATGATGATTATGATAATGATGTCGATGATGATGATGTCGATGATGACGATAATGACGATCATGATCATGATCATGATCATGATCATGATCATGATGATGGTGATGGTGATGATGATGATGATGATGATGCTGATGATGATGATGATGATGATGATGATGATGATGATGATGATGATGATGATGATGACGATGATGATGAAGATGATGATAATGAGAGGAGGAGCAGGAGGAGGAGGAGGAGGAGCAGGAGGAGGAGGAGGAGAAAGAGGAGGAGGAAGAGGAGGAGGAGGAGGAGGAGGGATTGGGCAGCGGGAGGAGGAGGAGAAGGAGGGAACGCGGGGACCGTCTTTTTAAACCGAGGACCCAACACCACAGGATGGTTGGGAAAAACTCAGCGCGGAAGCGCGGAAATAAGGACGCGTAGCCTGACGTAGCATGGCGTGGCGACGGCCCAAAGTGGGGGGGGTCTTCCGCGGCCCAAAAAATCAACGAATAGACACCGAATGTGTGATCACTTTCGATTGTTTTTTCGGGAGGGGACAGTTTTTTTAGGTCTTGGGGTTTATTTGGAAGGACCGAAAACCATGCCGTGGCATGGCGCTGGAAATAATGACGCCAACGCTGCACCAGGAGCACGATTCGGAACGAGCACGGAAGCGTGGAAATGAGGCCAGCGCTGCAGCGGGAGCACGATTCGAAACGAGCGGTAGCCCGAAAATGAGGCCAGTTCAGCGATAACAGCATTTTGAGAGGAAAAATATCAGCAAATCAAAACAAAATCTCTTGGGAATCCTGTGTGTAAAAAACCAGTACGCAGAGGGGGGCCGGACATTCTCCGGACGCCACCCGGGGAAAGAGGAGAGTAGCATTCAGATTGTGTAATTGTGGAGGGGGAGTCGGTGGAGGAGGGGGAGGAGGAGGGGGAGAAGGGGGTGCCCTGGCCACCATCCCTCGAGGGACCTCTGGCAGCAGAGATCGAGGTTCTCCAAAGGGCTGTTTCCCAGTTGCGCTCGGCAATTTCGGCGCTGGACCTTGGTGGGTCACTGCTCGCCCTCCCCTCTGGATCTTTTCGAGCTGATCAGATCGGATCGAAAGGGGGTCCTGGCTTTGAGGGAGGAGGTGCCAGAGGCTGAATTAGCTAGCAGCCTCTGGGAGGAGAAGTGGGACGATGCCCAGCTCCTCTCAAAAGTCGGGCTGCTGATTCAAGCTCGGGTCGTTCAAGGCAAGGAGCCTGAGTTGTTTTGTGTTCGGGGCAAGCGGCATCGACACTTGCCTCCAATGGGAACAGAACAGAACAGGGGGAAAGGGAAGGGGGATGAGGAGGAGGGGGAGGGAGCGGAGAGAGCAGGGAGGGGGAGGGCGAGGGGATGATGATGGCGGGAGAGAAGGAGGAGAATCAGGAGGAGGAGGGGGAGGCAGAAAGAGAAGGAGAAGTGTCCGCACCACTCTGGCTGGAAAGCGAGTCGAAGGCAACTCGCCCCCTCGGTTTGCATCTGTCCCATTTCTCCTCTTCCCCTTGCGCTTCCTCCTCCTCCTCCTCATCCTCCTCCTCCTCCTCACCCTCCTCACCCTCCTCACCCTCCTCACCCTCCTTCGTCCTTCCCCTTTTTCCCCCATGTGGGTGAAAAGAGCTGCTCGTGCTTCGTTCGGCAGTGGGAGGTGCATTCGTACGCCTCGCCGTTTCCATCCACGCACCAGCGCACCGCCTTACGTGTCTGATGTGCCGCCCGCCTCCCCCCCTGCGCCCCGATACCAGTGTTGAAGAGAGGAATGCGCGCCACGCAGCGATCGAAAATGCGGCGCGCCCTTCCACTACGCGTGCTCACTTGCAAGATCTCAAGGTCCGGGACGGGGGTTGGGGGAAGTTCCTCAGTTTGTCGTGGCGCCCGGCGCCAAAAAGTCATCGTCGCCGGCCCTCGGCGGCCCCCCGCGGCCTGCCGAGCCAGCGTCGACGGCAGCGTCGCTCCAGAGGTCTCCTGGCGCGCTCCTCCGCGGGGGCAGGAAGGAGAGGAGGGGGTGGTGGGAGGGGGAGGGGTGATGGGCCGATGAGGTGATGATGGTGGTGATGATGTTGATGCTGAAGCTGATGCTGCTGCTGCTGCTGTTGCTGATGCTGCTGCTGATGCGGATGATGATGATGATGATGATGATGATGATGATGATGATGATGATGATGCTGATGATGATGATGATGATGCTGATGCTGATGCTGATGCTGATGCTGATGATGATGATGATGATGATGGTGATGGTGACGATACTGCTGGTGATGATGGCGATGATGGTGACGATGCTGATGATGATGATCATGATGATGATGAGGAGGAGGAGGAGGGTGATGATGATGGTGACTGTGATGGAGATGGTGATGATGCTGTTGCTGCTAGTGATGATGGTGATGATGCTGATGCTGATGATGATGATGATGATGACGATGGTGGTGGTGATGCTGATGATGATGATGATGGCTATGATGAGAATGCTGATGAAGATGATGATGCTGATGCTGATGACGATGATGATGCTGATGATGAGGGTGATGATGATGATCATGATGATGGTGGTGATGGTGGTGATGGTGGTGGTGATAGTGCTGCTGATGATGATGATGATGAAGCCTATGATGTTGATATTGATGATGGTGGTGGTGATGGTGATGGTGATGGTGATGGTGATGGTGGTGGTGGTGGTGATGGTGATGGTGATGGTGATAGTGGTGGTGATGGTGATGGTGATGGTGATGATGGTGGTGGTGGTGATTGTGGTGATGGGGATGGAACTGGGGATGTGGATGCGGATGCGGATGCGGATGGTGATGATGATGGTGGTGGTGGCTGTGGTGGTAATGACGATGATGGTGGTGGCGATGATGACGGCGGTGATGGCGATAAGAATGGGGAAAAAAGGAGAAGGGGGACGGTCGAGAAGGAGGAGAAGGAGGAGGAGGAGGAGGAGGAGGAGGGGGAGCAGGGGGATAAGGTGGAAGCGAGGAGGAGGAGGCGCAGCAGGCGGTGAATGGCGAGGAGCAGAAGGAGCATGAGGAGGAGGAGGAGGGCGAGGAGGAGGAGGAGGAGGAGGAGGCGCAGCAGCAGCAGAGTTCGAGCCGCAGAAGCAGGGGAAGAGGTTGAGCAGGAAGAAGAGCGACAGGCGCTGGGAGGGCTGGACGGCGACGTCGGCAAGCGGCTCACCGTCGCCTCGCGCCGCGTGACGCAGTACCGGTCGGGCCAGGAGGTGCGGGATGTCGAGCCGGGGGTGGGCGCGGAGGACGAGGAGAAGGGAGGACAGGAGGGAATAGAGGAGGGAAGAGTTGGGAAAAGAGGAGGGAGGGGAGGAGGAAGGAGAGGAGGCAGGAGGACGAGGAGAGAAAAGAGGAGGGAGGAGGAGTTAGGAAGAGGAGGACGCAAGCATAGCACTTAATGTCCGCTCAAAGCAAAACAAACAAATTGGAGGAGGAGGAGGAGGAAGAGGAGGAGGAGGAGGAAGAGGAGGAGGAGGAGGAGAGGAGGAGGAGGAGGAGGAGGGAGGAGGAGGAGCAAGGAGGAGGAGGAGCAGGAGGAGGGGAGGAGGAGCAGGAGCAGGCGGAGGGGGAGGGCGAGGTAGGAGGAGCAGGAGGAGGGAGGGCGAGGTAGGAGGAGGAGGAGGAGGAGGAGGAGGAGGAGGAGGAGGAGGACGGAGGCGGAGGGGGAGGAAGAGGAGGAGGAGGAGGAGGAGAAGGAGGAGGGAAGAGAGGAGGGAGGAGGAGGGGGAGGAGGGGGATGAGGAGGAGGATGATGGGGAGCGTAGAGAGGACGAAGTGGACAAGCTTCGCGCGCTCGCGCCAGATCTCACATCCTGGCCCCCCCACGCATGGCTTCTCATTGCTCGGTTGTTCCTCTATCCGCCGACGGGTGTCGTAGCGGACGTGGAATTTCAAAAAGGACCCCATCGTGTCTGTGCAATCGGGAAGAGGGAGCTGCGTATATTCGAGGAGGAGGTGGTGGACAAGCAGGAGGATGAGCAGGAGGACAAGGAGGGGTAGGAGGAGGAGGACGAGGACGAGGACGAGGACGAGGACGAGGACGAGCAGCAGCAGCAGGAGCTGAAGTGAGAGGAGCAGGAGGAGCAGGAGGTGGGGCGAGAGCTACAGTCTGAAGGATGGGAACAAAGAGCCAGCCCAAAAATGAGGCCCGCGCTGCAGCGGGAGCACCATTCTGAGAAAAAAAGGAAACAGCCGGATTGTAAACACACAGTCTGGGAAATCAGCATTTGACACCGTGTGCTTACGAACACCGTACGCGGAGACGGCGGAGTACCTTCTGGACAAAGTTAGGCGAGAGAAGAGTAGTTTTTTCACGCTTCGCGCATCCCCACCAGGAGGTTGCAGAGCGCCAGAAGCTCATTCTCGCGTGGGGCGAGCTAGTACCCCTTGGCCACACATCGACGCTGCAATACAACAGAGTGGGTGCTCTCTCATTGAAGTTCCAGATATGGTCGCAGCTACAGTCAAGCTTCCGCGGAAGGCTTTACCACTAGTCGAGGTAATTATCCGTGGACATCGCTTCGCAGTTCGAGGGCGTGCGCGTGGACTACGGCGGCAGGCGCACCCCTTGGAAAGAGGTAGTCGGCTCGCATCGGCCGGCTAGTACGGAGGGCGATCCCCCTCTGGGCAGCCCACAGCTGCCCCCCGCCTACCTCCCTGTCTGTCTGCTGCACCACATTCGAGGTTCGGCACACTGCGTGCGGAGTCACCCCCCCTCTGGCCGGCGGCCGATGGTTGGATCCTAATTGACCAGTGCTGTGGCTGTGCCCCACGCCAGCGCAGCAATGTCTCAGGCATTCCATTCTCAATCTTCCTGCAGCTGTCAGCTGCATCCTACCAGGGCAACTCCATTCCTTTGCTGCTGTCAGCTGCGCCCTACCAGAGACACGGCACAGCGCAGGCAGAGTGACCCCCCTCCGCTCTGCGGCTGCCAGTTCTATCCCGACGAGACAGCATGGTGATTGTGTCCAATGCTGGTCATTCTTCGGCTGCCATCTGCACCCTACCAGAGCAATTCCCATCCTGTTGCGGCTGTCAGCTGCACCCTGCCAGCGAATCTGTTCCGCAGGTGGAGTGACCCCCCTCCATCCTGCGGCTGGCGGTTGGGGTCCAATGAAAAGGTGCGGTGGCTGTGCCCACTGCCAACGCAGCAATGTCTCAGGCGAAACCCATTCATATTTCTGCAGCTGTCAGCTGCACCCTACCAGAACAATCCCCACCTTGCTGCGGCTGTCAGCTGCACCCTACCAGCGGTCCGGCACTGCAGGTGGAGTGAACCCCCATCCATCCTGCGGCGGACGCGTTGCCTCGTACTGGACAGCGGGGTGACCCTGGCGGCCCAATGCCAGCGCAGCATTTTGTCTCAGGCGGACCCTTTTCACAATTCTTCGGTGGCTGTCCGCTGCACCCTACCAAAGCAATGCCCATCTTTCTGCGGCTGTCAGCTGCACCCTACCAGCGAACCGGCGCTGCAGGTGGAGTGATCCCCCTTCATACTGCGGCTGACGTTCGGACTCGGAGTGGGCAGCGGGGTGACCCAGGCTGTCATTCGCCAGCGCAGCAATATGTCTCAAGCGGACCCGCTCTCAATCTTTCCGCAGCTGTCAGCTGCACCCTACCAGAACAAGTTCCATCTTGCTGCGGCTGTCAGCTGCACCCTACCAGCGAACCAGCTGCAGGTGGAGTGACCCCCTTCCATCCTGCGGCTGACGCTCGGATACGTTCTGGGCAGCGGGGCGACTCAGGCTGTCCATTGCCAGCGCAGCAACATGTCTCAGGCGGAACCCCTCACATCCTTCAGCGGTTGTCAGCTGCACCCTACGAGGTCGCACGCCCGTCCCGTGTTGCGTGGTCCCCCTCCGCAGGAAGTGGTTCCTGGCGCGTCCGCGCTGGCCCACATCGGGCTGTTGGCTTCTGACGGCGGTGCCCCCGCACTGTGTCGCATACGCGACAGGTTGACGTCCATCCCCCCTGCTCGGCTGATTTGTCACTGTCGCCAATGGGCTACCCCAACCCTTCTCCCCGTCGCACTTGGGGCGTGCTTACTCCCGGGGTGGCTCCTGGAGGGCGCTCACCATTCGGTTCATTCTGTGGCCCTGGAGATGGCCTGCTGGATTGTACGTCGCGCGCGCTTGGTGTGCGTCTGTGGTTTCCTACCCCCCCCCGTCTTCAAGTCCCCGCTCCTCGGCAAGGTACTTCGACCTCGTCGCCTGAGCCCGATCCCCTGCGCGCACGCCGTCTCTTCCATGTCTCTGTTGTCCCTCGTTCTCCTCCTTCGTTTCTTGCCTTCGGCCGCTTCCTCGCTCTTGCCTGTCTCTGTCTCCGCCTTTTTGTTTTCGCCACCCTTGTGGCTCTTTTCCGCCTCACACTTGCGGTTGCAGGGCTTGCACTTCTCTGTCGTTTTTTTCTTGACGGCGCGCGGCTGACCGCGCCGCTCGCGAGCAACATATATCCCCACCAGCCCATTCAGAAGCCCTGCCCATGAGAGCTGACGGGAAAAGGGACGAAATGACACATCTAGGGAAACAAAGCGAGAAACCAGGGTGAACCGAGATCTGTGGGAGCAAGGGGGTGGCCTTGGAAGGTCTCTTCGGGCCATCCTTGGGGGCCGCGCGGGGGCGAGGGGAAGAGGGGGAGGAGGAGGAGGAGGAGGAGGAGGAGGAGGAGGAGGAGGACGACGACGAGGAGGACGAGAAGGACGAGGAGGACGAGGAGGACGAGGAGGACACGGACGCGGATGAGGACGAGGAGAACGAGGAGCACGATGAGGAAGGACGACGCGGACGAGGATACATGGAACCATCTAGATGTATTAGTGCTGCTGTTGCTGCTGTTGCTGCTGCCGGTGCTCTCTGGGAGTTCGGGGGGCCCTCTTGGAACCCTTTTGGTAACCCTGGAAGGTTTCTTGGGGGCCATCGGTTACAGGATGGGGGGTCCCCAAATCAGCTCCCCCCCCCATCAGGAGCCCGCAAACCGCTTCTTGGGGCTCTCGTGGGGCTCTCTTGGAGCGTTCTTGGAGCGGTCTTGGGGCCGTTTGGGGTATCTTGGGGCCATATTGAGCCAGCCTGGGCGACCTGAGCCATCTTGGATGTCATTTCGGGCTCGCTGAGGCCGCTCGGGGCCTTCTTGTGGCCCTCTTGGGACCCTCTTGGGGGGGAAAAAAAGGTTTGGGAATAGGAGAGAAAGACTACCGTTAGACCACGTACGCCCAGAGGGCTGGTGGGATTCTTAACGTGTAAGCGTGGAGGAGGAGGAGGAGGAGGAGGAGGAGGTGAAGGAAGAGGGGGAAGAGAGGTTAGGAGGAGGACGAGGACGAGGACGAGCATAAGGACGAGGTCGAGGACGATATGGAGAGCGGAAAGGGGCAGTAGCAGGACAAGGTGGACAAGACGAGGAGGAGGAGGAGGAGGAAAAGGAGGAGGAGGAGGAGCAGCAGGACGAGGGGGAGAGCGAGGAGGAGCAGCAGCAGGACGCGGTGGAGAGGACGATGATGACGACGAAGACGACGACGAAGACGACGACAACGACGACGACGACGAGAGAGAGAGAGAGAGAGGGATGGAGGGAGGGAGGGAGGGAGGGAGGGAGGGAGAGGAGGAGGAGGAGGAGGAGGAGGAGGAGGAGGAGAATGAGGAGGAGAAGGAGGAGGAGGAGAAGAAGGCCCCTCCTCAGCCGAACGAGGTGCGGACTGTCGAGCCAGACGGATTGGGGCACGTGGAGCCAAGCTTCAATGGGTACATAAAGATTCTGGACTATTACAGGCTCATCGGGGGGAAAATGAGGAGCAGGATTAACAGCAGGGGGGCGGAGGCAGAGGACGAGGAGGGGGAGGACGAGGAGGAGGAGGAGGAGGGGGAGGAGGAGGAGGAGGAGGAGGAGGAGGAGGAGGAGGAGGAGGAGGAGGAGGAGGAGGCGGAGGAGGACGACGAGGACGACGAGGACGACGAGGACGAGGACGAGGACGAGGACGAGGACGGAGGCAGAGGATGAGGAAGAGGAGGAGGATCATTGTAAACCCAGGGTGCATGAACGGTACTGCAACGCCCCTTCGCATCCAAAGTCCCTCCTCAAAGGTCCCGACAAGCGTGCCTTTTGCTACGGAAGCGCCTCCCTGGAAGGCGAGCGCACCTTCTGCTCAGGAGACGTGAGGCAGCCTCAAGCGAGAGCTCCATTGTGAAAAGGAGCCTCTCTCCGTCCGCGCAGCCGCTGGACCAGCCGCCGTCCGTCGGCGCAGATGTTGCAGAGTGTCCGGGCGAGTGCGCGTGCCGCTTAGGCGACAGGAAGGGCGGCAGGCAGCCCTGCATCCGCGTGACGTGCTGAAGCATCCGGCATCAGGGCAATTCGTAACTCGAAGAAGAAAAACGCCATGAACCTAAACTTGTGGCCCTCCCCGCGGATCTCTTGGGCCCGCCCTGGGCCCCCCCGGCGGCGCCTCCGGCGCCGCCCCTGGCGCGCCAGGGAGGGGGGCCCAGCGCGGATCCAAGAAATCCGCGCGGAGCGCCAAGAGTTTATGCTTGTGGCGTGTTTTTTGTCTCAGAGGGCGGACGTGTCGGGCGAAGCGCCCAGCCCACGTTGCCGAGGCGCCTGCAGGTGGCGCGACGAGGAGGACAGCGGCGAGAGGGGGCGGAGTCTCGGCAGGCGGCGGGGGGCTCCGAGCAGGCTCGGGAAGCTCCCTCCGAGAATGCCTCTCGCCCCCTCCCCGCCTCCTGCAGGGAAGAGGAGGAAGAGGAGGAGGAGGAGGAGGAGGAGGAGGAGGAGGAGGAGGAGGAGGAGGAGGAGGGGGAAGATGAAGAGGAGCAGGCTCAGGGAAGCTCCTTCCCCCCTGGGCGCGCCGCTGTTTTTGGTGGTGCGACGAGGAGGCGGCGCCGAGACACCTGACGTCGTGCTGTTTTGTTTTCGCAGCGTGGCTCCACAGAGGTCTGGGCCCCCGCCCCAAGGCCGGCGTTTCGTCCCGAGTCGTTCTTTGAAGCAGAATTTCGGGGCCCGGTACAAGCCCCCGGAGGCAGATTTGTTAATTGTTTTTCTCAAAACAGGTTTGCCCTGTAGGAGTTCGAACTCAAACCGTACTGATTGGTCCGTCCCCCCTAATTCCTATGCCCCCCTAATTCCCATGGCCCCTGGCGCAGCTGCTGGACCGCACGGTCCAGCACGGTACAGCACAGTGGACTGGAGTGTGCGCGTGTGGAAAACAGGATCGCCTTCATCGTCATCATCACCATCATCACCCACTATTTATTTGGAGTCAACGCTGGCTGATATTGATATCATAATGGAGTGCTGACACGACGGGAGCCTGTGAGAGATGAGGCGACGAGGGGGAGGTATTCATAAGGAAGAGGCGCGGGGGCCCGAACAGCGAGTCCAAATCCCACGATGCGGTGGCAGGGCAAAAATATCACGAGATGTGATCATACCGTTATATCACACGGTCGGCTGCTCGGCGTTTTTAATGCGTCCCTGTCTTATGCCGAATTTCTGCGCGGGGGCCTTCCCGTCGAAGGCCAATATTTGCACAGTGATCGATGTGTCTGTAGTTGCCGCAGTGCGTGCGTCACTGGGGGTACGTGGGTGTCGTGTTGAGGTTTCCCTGCGCTTGAGAACTTCGGATTCCTGGAAATAATTAAGTTGCCCAAAAATTGTCCAAAAGTTGTCCTCAGCCCCCCCATCAAAGTTGTACTAAAAAGAGCTGATCGTAAACCTTCGGGGAGATAGTGCGTTAAACCCTCCTGCCCAAATTGTCCTCGGGAACAACTCCCCGCTGCATATCCCCCCCTAAAAAGTGAACGTGATTCAACGTTTGCCTGCTAGGGTATGGTGGTGTCGATAGCACAGCGATAATTGTTTAGTTTCCATTGCTGTTTTGGCCCAAACATGTTCTGTGGCGTCTCACGGGCCCTTGTCCGTGCGTATGGATGCAGAGTCTAATGGGAGCTGGTCTGATTTGATTGACCCAGTTGTTCTAGAATCGCCAGGGTCGATCACTGGCTGGTCCGACGCAATCGAGTTTGAGCGCCGGCCTGACAGCAGTTCTGACCTTGGGGATCAGCCCGATCAGCACGAGAGCGACGGCCTTCCAGAGCAGCCACGTCCAGAGCCAGACTCTCAGCTGGACTCGGCCCAACTGGCCGCGCTTCTGGCGCAGCCGCCGCCGCCGCAGAGGCGGAGGGGGCGCAGACCAGGCTGGGAGAAGCGGTTCGGTGACCAGCAGCTGGCGGTGGATCAGCGCCCAGTGGCACCAGTGCCGAGGGAACTGCGACGACCGCCAGCTGACGACGAACGATTGGCAGCCAGTGGAGTTCGACCCCAGTTGTGCTACGAAGTTGGAGAAGGTGCATTCTTACGATTGCGGCAGAATCGACAATTCAGCACGCCATGGCCTTTATCAAAATATCTTATGGATTGCATTGTGTCATCGCAGCAGCCAGGTGCACAGCTCGATGCAGACACTCTCACAGTCGGTGCGCACTTGTTGGGAGTTGACACAGTCAAGTTAGCTTCATCCTCTGCCAGCGCTCAAAACATGAATGTGTCAACGAAGGTATTGAAATCTCGCACGCATATCTTGGCAGCCTGCATTATCAACGGGCAAGCTTCCTTGCAATGGTCTGTGCAGGAGGCTGTGGTGCGCAGCGTCCCTGCTCGAGATCGGCTCCTGTTTGTTGATATGTCCAGATACGACGAGACGCCGATGAGGGTCAAGACAGCTGGAGCATCGTCAATGGATGATTTGCTTCCGCAGAACATGGTAGGCAGGATGCAGATTGAAGGCCTGCGGCCAGAATCTTCGAGCATTCAGGCATGGACTCCAGTCTTATGTGGGCGTACATCGACAGTTGGCCAATCTTCAAAAATCTTCCAGTCTGAAGTTGGCATGGGCATGCTTCTTCGCATGGATGGCCAATGCTTGTATCTGGTGCTGCCGTCGGTCACGCACTTGCAAGTCTTGGAGAGGGGCACGGCAAAGTGTGCACAGGAAGCTCTCGTTCGCCAAACGGCTGTCTTCCCGATAGCCAACGCATTCGCCCGCAAATTGAGATCGGCATGTACTGATAAAGGCTCTTCTAACTTGGTGGTTGAATCATCGTACGTCTCCAGCCCAGAGCATCAAGATTGGCATCGCGCGTGGAGTGCTTGCGACGTTCACGTCACGGCAACGGTCTTCAAGTTCGTATTCGCCCTGACGCAGACCGACATCACAGGCATGATTCGCCACAGTTTGAGTATCAACGTGGCTGGCCAGCTCAATTGTTTTCGAAAGGCGTTGCGACAGGAGATCAAGGCGAGAGGTGTTCATATTCGCCAAGGTGTACCGCCGTTGTCTGCACAGCGGTATCGCGAACGAATGTTGAAAGTGTTTTGCTATGGGCGGAGTCGTTTGTCAACCGGGTTACTCTTGGCCTTGCTGCCAAATCTGAGATGGGATTCAAGCGTCATCGACTTGTTTGTTGTCGATGGTTCAGCCATTACTCCAGCAATCGCGACCAAGATCAATACGAATGGTCTCACCACGGCGTTGGCAGGCACGTATTTCACGACGTACCCCCAGCATCGGTGGACAGGCGCTGATGTAGCCGTGGACCGTTGTGCGCTTCTTGAGGTGGTTCATGGCCTGGGCTCCCCCGTGTACGAACGACACCTGCAGATGTTCCATGGCAAGAAGAAGGGCGCTAACATAGCTGCTCACACCGATGATTTGCCAAGTGCTCCAGCTATCCTTGCTGGGCAGGGCGATGCAGATGGTGCAGGTGGAGCGGATGGCGCTGCCGATGTGCATGTCCCTGTGGAGAGCGGAGTCAACTATTCGATGGAAAAGTCAGCCGAGTTCAATTCGAAGAGCAGGGAGGCAGCTTCCAAGTGGTGGTCTTCAGACCCGCTCCCAAACATGATCATCATTCGCATGGTCATGGAGCCTCTGCGGGCCCTGCTGTCAGACAGGCTTTCGCTGTCAGGGCAGACGTTCAACGACGAGCAAATATGGGCTGCAGCTGACGATGCAATCTCTGGTCGGCCGATGGCCAGGAAATATAGAGTCTGCATCGCGGCGTCGAACCAGCTGGAGAACGAGTGCCTCGAGCGGGTCCGCATACTTCTTGAAGACGAAGAGTTGTGGGCCATCATGCCGCGCCGAGCGATCAGGGAGGACAAGCAGTGCCTCGGCTTCAGGATGCTCAGCAAGCTCGGTTGCGCCGTGACCCAGTTACTCATTGTGCCGCACGAGGAGTGCCAGTTGCAAGTCTTCGGTTTGCTTGAGAACCCGAGTCTCGGCGAAAGGCTTTTGGCCCAGCCTGCTCACATGAGGGGTTCTTGGGCGAATGATTTTTTAGAGGCGTACAAGGGCGACTTGCAGTCCGCTGAAGCTCAAGCTACCCTCGCAGCAGCCGCGCTCAAGGCACATCGTGATATTGCCAGCGTCGAGGTGCTGCATGGGACGATTCGCCGATGGCTTCTCCACAGGAGCCACCAGACCGACGCGAGGAGCTTCACCGACTTGCCTTCCGAGTGGGTTTTGCAGAGGGCTCGATGTGCTCGAGTTCAGGTGCGGAGAGGAAAGGGTGGGCCTCCATGCTTCAAGCAAGCCAACTACCTCGCGAGGTGGGGGGACACCGTCGCAGAAGAGGAAGCGAGGAGGTGGGGGTCAACAGCGAGCCTACGTCGGACTTCAGGTGAAAGAGCGGAAGTTGAGACTCTGCAACGAAGGAGTTCTTAAGATGTTGAATTATTGACGCTTCGCGTGCCCGCGCCAACCTATCCATGCGTAAAA